CCAATCTATTATTATTAAATAATAATAATAAAATTTCAGTAGCTCATGAGGCTAGTGCAATTTTTGATGAATGCATAGAAAAATTTGACAATCGCAAAGAATGTTGATGTGTGTAATTTTTCGTTAAATAAAAGCTTTAATCAAGGCACATTGAACAGATAGTATCAGTAGAGCAGCTGTTTTGATTTCTTTCAAATTATTTGGTCTCAAAAAAATGAAATGTTTTTAATTTATTCTCACAAAAATTCTAAATTGTTAAAATCTATTAGCATGTGAAACCTTTTTCCATACAAAACAAGCGATTGAATAGCAGCTTTTGGAAGTTGCAACCATGGTACAATAAACACAGGTAGAAGCCAAATTGACATCAAACGTACAAAAGTCAAAGTTTTCGGGAGAGTAAAAATAAAAATGAGCGTGTGTAAGGAAAAATAAAAAATTACATTTCGCTGGTTGACGTTTTTGAGTAAATTTGAAGTTTTGTTTTTATTTTTTTTCTTTAGTTAAAATTTGTTAATTTGTATGTTTTTTTCTGTTTTTAATTTATGAGTTGGAGGGACTTTCCGGCATAAGGGTCATAGGAACAGCACTTGGTATCAAAAGTGCCTTTCCTGTACCTCCCGGTGCATTTATGAAATCTGCTGCTTTAAAATGTTTAACGCACAGCAAAGCATTTCGCTGCAGTTGTGCCCCAAAGCTGTTTTCGCAACGCTCTTTACGCGAAGGACATTGAGGCACGTTAAAAACAATTAGTGGTATCTGCTTCATATTTAAAACCACATAAAAAACAACGCTTCAGGTGTTGCATTTTTAACACATACACTAAGTATAAACCGCACAACACTACTCAAATTCACATGTTAATCAAAATTTGTTATTAACGAACATTAAAAAAAACAACGATATGACATTCAAAGCGTAACGAAATATAGGAAATAAAAGAAAAACAAGTTGAAGTTTAAAGGTTTGGTTCTCATGAGAGCAACGTCATTTTGGCTTCTACCAGTATTAATGTGCCTTGCGATTGAATAGCAGCTTTTGGAAGTTGCAACAATTTTTATTTTTTTTTCCATTCCATGGCACGATTTGATTTAGAAGAAATAAATAAGAACAGTTTTTGACACTTTCGATACCAGAAGCAACAACAAAATACGCGCATATGTTGTTTTTGCTCTAATGCTACTACCTGTTTGATATGCCTTGGCTTCAATTGATGAATTGCAATCAATAATGATAGATGTTTTCTTAAAATATTAATTTCATTTCAATTTGTAATATGTTATTCCGCATAAATCTGCGGTTATCAAAAATGTACTGCTGTCAAAAAATATTTCATTTTACACAACTGGCAAAACTGTCTCACCATAGCAAAAATATTATTCACCAGCTTTCCCCATAGAATTTTGTTACCGATTCACACATGCCTTAAGTAAAAATATTTCCTGTCAAATTGAGAGATATAGCATGATACTGTTTTTAACCTGTGTGGAATTTTATCCAGGTACAAATAAGCATTTGACGTGGTATCAAAAGATATGCTGGTGATGTCACGTTTATTTCAAGCACACGTATCTCTGTATGTATATATTGTATAAGTTGTCAATTTGATTCGTTATCGAAAATTTTTATTACGGATGTCGAATCGATATCAATTATTGTTTCATAAAGTACTAAGTACGTCTCCGACGCCGCATCGCTGTGATATGATATGTTATTGACATGATATCACATAATGTAATGTATTGATACATGTAATTCTACGCTGAAAATTTAATCACGTGACTCAATAATCTTGAGTGCATATCGTATGATATGATGATGTTGTCGCAGCGCATTCTTCTATGGTTATTGAAAATGTTCATCACATGATGTGTTATTGATTTCGCATCGATTTTGACTATAGTTACCGTGCTTGCCACTCAGAATGTAAGTAGTCTGCGGCGTAATATGATATGTATGTCTCGTTATTGATGACACGTACCGATTTTCTCTAACGGGCGCGTGATTTTTTACTCAAAACTTTAATTACATGACCTATTGTTATCTGACACTTTGATAATGATGTCGCATCGGTTTCATGTATCAATTTTAACTAATGTTGGCTTGACTTGCCATTGAATATTTTATTCATTTTATGATACCAGATGATATTATAGCATAATTAGGGCATCGCATAGGCGTGATATAGACGTTGATTTTATGTCATAGTATTAACTTCCAAAAGGAGTTCGTTGGAATATTTTTTTTTTTATGTATGTTACCGCATAACTTTGGACTACGGCAACCGATTTCGATAATTCTTTTCGTATGGTCGCATACTAATCTGGTTTAGATCCGATCTTGGATCATGCAAAAATTAACGGTACTCCCAAATTTTTATATGAGAATTGAAGTCGGTTTTGTTTTTTTGCTCAAAAATTACTTGTGTTATGTCAAATCTTCTGACGTCCACCGCGAACATGTAAGAATACGTTAAAAACTTATATTAGAACCTGGAATTGTATAAAACTAGGTTCTGATTTTTGATCTTTACTGTGATTTTACTGTTATTTCTGAAATTGACTTTAGCCTTTGAAACCTATAGTAACTTTTGATTTCATGGCACATACACTTGTGGTCAGCTGATTAAGTCAAGTGATATTTTGACTAGTTTTGGCTATATTTCTTTTGTTTATTTAGTGTTTATATTCTTATACATATATGTATAAAGTTTAGCACCTCACCTAATCAACGCCATATAAATCCACATTTCAGATTTCGTAAAAAAATATATACATTCAATAAACAAAAGAAAAATAGCCAAAACTAGTCAAAATGTCACTTGACTTAATCAGCTGACCACAAGGGTACATACATATGTATATATACATATGTATACACTGAGGTGCATAACTATAGATGCATTTATTTTCTGTGGCGTGTTAAAGAAATTTAGGAAAAAATCGGTAATGCCGGGTTGACGGTCTCTGACATTTATTACCTCAAAGGATCACATCTCTTTTTTTAACCCTTTGAATAACAAAGTGCAACCAAAAATGTTATTTTTTATTGGTGCATAACTATAGATGCACATTAACTGCTTTATTTAAGTAATAATTGATAATTGAGCGTGAACAGAACCTCATTTAAATTTAATTAGTTAAAAAATCTTACTCTTGTTCTGTATACTAGGTTTGAACGCACAGGACTTCCCAATCCAAAATGGTAGGGGATAAGTTTTAAATTCTGCGGCATCCTGTGCTGGTTCAATTGGGTACTTGATACCGTTGGTTATTACGTTAATTGTTTCAGTAGGCTTCGAATATATTCATCTCTACTAAGTTGCATCTTTGATCATGAAAATATTATCCGGAGAGTTTCTTTACGTTCAGAAACTGTGATAAATGCAAAATGTATATGTAATTTCTTGTACTACGACTCTCATTACTACTAATATATATGATGCTTTTAATGTATTTTTTACACAACCCCGTTCTTAGGGTAAACTGATTGCCTTCTGGCCCAGCACTTGCTGGCTCTTTGACTGCTTTAAGAGCCAAAAATCACTAAATAAACAAAAGAAATATAGCCAAAACTAGTCAAAATATCACTTGACTTAATCAGCTGACCACAA